AGCACAGAGCGTCAAGGCACGAACCGGAACAGACGGGTCGGTAACGAGAGAGGCAAGGACCCGAGAGAACAAGAGGACGAGCGGCACGAAGGTAGTCAGACAGGGGGGGGGTGCAACAACAAGGGAGGATGGAGGAGGCGACGGGAGAAGGGGAGGACGAGACGCGTGGGAACGAAGCAACATAGGGTGGGAGCGCAAGACAGGGGAGGCAGGACGAGCACGGGAGGGACGGTGAGACCAGACGTGAGACGGAGGAGTCGGGTCAGGAGACAGGGAGGGGACACAGGGAGGGGAACGAGGGGGAAGACGGCCGGGGACGAGTCCGGCGGAGGGAACACAGGGCCGTAGACGGGAAGAGGAGGAGACGGCGGAGAGGAACAGACGCAGGGTCAGGGGACGGAAGGCCGAGCAGGCGAAGGGCTGACACCGGCGGGGACTGCTGCTGCGGCGGCACAACGCCGACACCGGGACCGCAAGCTGCTCCTCGGCTACCACCGCACACTCCACGCCAGCACCCCCAGAGGAACACTCCAGGCCGAAACCCTCGAACCGGTACCACCCCAGGTACCGGACTAGCACGCACTCCAACGCCAGCACCCCAGAGTCAACGAACGGGTGCTGCGACGGCGGCGGCGGCGGCAGCGACAACGACGGCTGCGGCGGGGCGGCGGAGTGACAACGGCTGCGACAGCAGGGCGACAGCGGCGGAGAGGCGTGGAGGAGGGGACGCCTTGGGGAGGGGCAGCCGGCGAGGACTGCGCCGCAGGACCACCAGAGTCAGAAGACTCCTCAACCGGGACCACCGACGGAAGAGGGTGACGTGGGACACACCAGAGGGGGCAGGACGGGGAGGAGGAGGGGGAGGGGCAGGGACTACCGGGGAAGGAGTGACCAGGAACAGGGGGGGGGGTAACCGGGGGACCGCGGTGGGGGAAGCGACGGTAGTAGGAGACGGACTCGTCAAAGGTGACGTCGCGAGAGTGAAAGAAGCGGTGAGACGGCGGGTGGTAGAAGTGCCAGTCGGACGCGTCAAGGGGAAAACCGAGGAAGACGCAGGGAAGGGTGCGGGCAGTGAGCTTGTCCGTGCCGGAGGCACGGACGTGAGCAAGGCAGCCCCAGACGTGGAACGCAGACGCGTCACCAGGAGACCCAGTCCAAAGACGGGTCGGCGAAACCTGCGGCTGCTGGGGGTGCGGCCACAGGTTAAGCTGGTGAGAAGCGTAGCGCACAGCGAACGGCCACAGAAAATGGGGTGCACCGGCATGGATCATGGAGGTGCGAGCCACCTCCATGACCAAACCGATGCGTCGCTCAGCGACCCCATTCTGCTGTGGGGAGTCCGGTAGGGTGAACGTCTGGGTGATGCCCTCCGCACGACAAAAGCGACCAAGGACACCTGAGGCAAACTCGCCACCACGGTCGGAGTGAAGGCGCAAGACAGGGAGACCTCGGTGGACACGGGCAGAGACAAGCCAGGGGATGAGAGCGGCAGGCACGTCGGCCTTCCGCTCCAGGGGAAAGACCGAGGTGTAGCGAGTGAAGTCGTCGACAAGCACAAGGAAGTAGCGCTCTCGACGCGGCCCATGGACGGGGGCGGGGCCCCAGACGTCCATGTGCAGGGTCTGCAGTGGCGCGGCAGTAGGGGGAAACGAGGAGGAGTGAGGGCACGGCGAAGCCGACCCTCGACGCAAGGCGTGCAAGGTGGGGCTGGGGAGGAGGGAAAAGCGGGGAGAGAACCAGGGAGACCAAGGACGAGACCGTGCTGGAACATGTGATGCAGACGCGGGAGCGCAGGGTGACCTAGGCGGTGGTGCCAAAGGAGAGTCGGGTGAGTGAGGGACCGACAGGAGCAGGCAGCAGCAACCTGGGTAGACGCAGCCACCTGAGGGGGCGCCCCAGCCGGGGGGTCACGGTGTCCAGAGTGAACAGGCCGGACACCGGGTCCCGGGGGAACGTGGACAGGGGGGCACCAGTGGCGGCCTCGGTACAGACAGCATACCGCTCGTGACCAGGGAACGTAGTGGTGACGCCAAGGTCCTGGAGGCAGCCGACACCAACTAGGTTCCTGGGAGAACGAGGGGATATGCAGACCTGTAAGAGAGCCCGAAGGAATCGCCGGACAGGGAAGGGTGGTGAACTGCGGGCGACTACCGGACCGCCGGAGGGGTCAGCAAGAGAAACGGCAGCAGGAACAGGAAGCGGCGTCAGTGTAGTAGAGTCGCGGAAGAAGCACCGGGAAGCGCCAGAGTCCAAGGTGAAGGAAAGCGAAGCAGTGGCGTCCGGCGACGGGGCGACGGCGGAAGCACCAAGGCTAAACAAAGCAGGGGATCCTACGCCTGACGCAGCAGGGGAGGCTAAGCTAGGCACACCTACACTAGACGACAGTGAGTAATAAGCGGGAAGCGCACTAGAGTCATCAGCATACATCACATGCAGAGCAGAAACAATGGCATCCATGTCCATGTCAAAAATCTGAATCTTACGACTAAGCAAACTGTGCAGTCCGGAGGTCTGGCGACGGGCCGAAGCGCTGACGAAACAGGTCGTCCAGGCGACGAAAACAGCGGGGAGTGGTATGACCGAGCTTACCGCAAACGAAGCCGCGGCGAGGACCGGTCTGGATCTGGTACTGACAACGCACGCCTCCCGAACCACCACTCGGCACACCACCACGCGCCCGACCACCTCCAGCGCCAGGCCACCCGGGCGGGAGGACACTCGCCTGCCTCGTCTGCGGCGGCTGCTGCCGAGGCTGCGGCTGCTGCGACCGCTGCGACTGCTGCGGCTGCTGCTGCTGCTGCGACTGCGGAGGCGGCGGCTCAGCTGGACTGGGCAGGGTCCCCTCGTCCGCTCCAGCACCAGACGACCCGACTCCACCACCACCCCCTCCTGCACCCCCGCCTCCTCGCGCGGCCCTTCCCCGAACGAAACTGCGCTGCAGCAGCAGTCTCAGCCACAGCGACAGAACCGTCGGAGAAGGTACACTGAGCGGGGGCACAACCCTGAAAGATAGGGACCGGCACGTACCGCTCGCCTGGGCGATGGAGCGGTGGCGGGTCTCAATAACAGTCAGGGTGTCTACAAAGTCGGTGAGGGTGAGCTCACCGGGGTGAATGCTAAGGAAGCGGTCGCGGGCGGCGGCAAGGCGGTCAGGGAGGCGGGTGGCAAGCAGGTAGAGGGTAGAGGTAATGGGCGCTGGTGGGCTCTAAGCTGTGCGTCAGTGCAGGCAGCGCGCCAGGTCTCATCTATCGAGCGCAGGTGGGCAGCTAGGTCAGAGACAGTGGGGAAAGACGCAAGGTCGGGAAAGAGCATCGGGAGGATCAGGCGACCCACCGAGGCAGCAGGAGGGGTGGAATAGCGCTTGATGACAGCATCTAAGTAACCCTGGGCGGTAGTGATGGACCTAAAGCGAGGGCGCTCGACGGGGGAAGGGCATTGCTAATGGCAAGCTGAGCGACAGCGTCTCGGGAAAGCCAGACAGAGCGCGCAAGGGCAGTGGCTGCAGTAGACTCGCGCTCAGCGGGTGTGGGGTCAGCGGGCAGAAACAGCAGGGGGGTCTGGGCAGGGGAGCGTACCGTCAAGGTGTGCGGAAAGCGGGTGGCCATCCTGCCGATGACCAGTGAGGTGGCGACGGAGGTCGGCGAGCCACGCCTCGAACTCCAGAGGCTGGCCTTCAGCATCGAAGCGAAGCTCCGCCGCCATCAGGAGCAGTGCAGGACTGTACAGTGCGGTGCAGTGCGGTGCAGGGCGGTGCAGTGCGGTGCAGGGCGGGTACTGGTGCAGTGCAGTGCGGTGTAGTGCGGTGCAGGGATGGGAACCGTACCAGGGAGGATGCAGGGCCGGGGCAGGAGACCGAGCGGCCGCACACAGCTCAGGGCAGGACGGGCGCGGGGCCAGAAGCAGCGGGCACCAGGTCGACGGGACAGGCGCGGGGCCGGCTGGGACGGGCGCAGGGCCGAGCAGACGGGCGCGAGGGTCGGCTGGAGGGCGCAAGGCAGGGCGGCGGGCAGGCAGGCACGGCGGGGCCAGGCAGGCCGGGCATGGCCAGGCAGGCGCGGCGGGGCCAGGCAGGAGCGCGGGGCCAGGCAGGCGCGGCGGCTGGGCAGGGCGCGACGGGGCCAGGCAGGCACGCGGGCCAGGCAGGCGCGGAGGGGCCAGGCAGACGCGACGGGGCCAGGCAGGGTGCGACGGGGCTAGGCAGGGCGCGACGGGGCCAGCGGGCGCGACGGGGCCAGCAGGGCGCCCGACGAGGCCAGGCAGGGCGCGACGGGGCTAAAAGGCGTGACGGGGCCCAGGAGGGGCCGACGGGGCCCAGAAGGGGCGCGACGGGGGCAGGGGGGCGCGACGGGGCCCAGGAGGGGCGCGACGGGTCCCAGGAAGGGCGCGTCTGGCTAGGGGGCGCGATGGGGCCCAGGAGGGGCGCGACGGGGCTAGGGGGTCGCGACGGGGCCAGGGGGGGGGCGCGACGGGGCCCAGGAGGGGCGCGACGGGCTAGGGGGCGTGACGGGGCCAGGAGGCGTGCAGGGCCTAGGAGGGGCGCGACGGGGCTAGGAGGCGCGACGGGGCCCAGGGGGAAGCGGCGGGCCTAGCTAGGGTACGGGCGGAAGCGGTAGGTGGGGGATCCTAACCTACGCGTGATACCATATCAAAGTGAGAAGCTGAATGATGAGTAGAGAGAGAGTACAGGTGAATATACCTAAGTGTTGTACCCTCTAAGAGGTGGCCCTATACAGTCTATGCAAACATAGGAGACACACATGTTTGACACCTTCTTGTACTTCATTCTCTTCTAGTCTATCCCTCTTCTCTCTCGACACTTTCCTCCCCTAACTAAACCTCTGGCCACCATTTCATGGCGGCCCTCTCTTCCTAGTTAAGCTAGCATTCGAACATTACTTTCTACTTCAAGTACTTGTGTCTGCAGATTCTATACTTCGTCTTCTGCACCGCTTTTAAATTCTTGCAGGCAGCTTAGTAACATGGCTGATAATTCAATAATGCCACCTTCATCAAAGTAAGTCTAAAAGGAAAGTGATGACCCGAATGCAGATATTGTGCCAGTATCAGTGATGCCATTATGACCACAAGTAGGAAATCTGCAGTAGCACTGGCCACCAGAACAACCACCACAACCAACTCCTGCTACTGCTGCTGCTGGAGCTGCTGCTGCTTCTGCTGCTGTTCTTTGTGGGTAGTGCTGCTGTGGTACTGCTGTTCTGAGCCCCCAACCATCACCCTGCGAAACTTCCCCGGACCCTAAGCTCTTTCACGAAGGCTTCGAGTATAAAAGCAACCACCACGTTGAGCACAAACACCACAATGACAACATAGAACGAGGCGAAAAATACCGTGGCCCTCCACTGCTGCCCTGGCGGCAGCACCGCCGCCACCCCATCCATGATGACATACCAGTTGTTCACTATGCACAGGTTGAAAGACACAGCCATAGACGCAGGGAAAGTCGTTGAAATTGAGTGGCAGGAAGCCGGAATTGAGGTACTCTGTGCGTTGTAACTGCGGGTGGTGCGAGGATAGGAGGCCCCCGAAGAGGTGGGTACCGGCGAGAGAGAAGAGGGAGAGGGTTGTGAAAAGGAGGGCGAGGATGGGGAGGATGGAGGGGAGGAGGGCGGAGAGGGAGGAGAGGAGGAGGTGGAGGCGAGGGAGGTAGTGGGAGAATGGAAGGAGGGGGAGGCAGCGGACGAGCAGAGCGGCTTGCAACCTGGTGTCAGGGAGGCCCAAGGGGGAGAGGAGATAGGGGGATAAGATAGCGGGGACGGAGATCTTAGGCTGCAACTACCAACAAACTGGAACCTGGAGGCATGGACTTGTCTGAGCAAGGCATGACATAGCATGGGCATGGCAAAGCACGGGCATTGCACAGACAGCATACCAGGGTAGAGCGTCAGGGGGGTGCGGAACCCTGCTTGGTCCAGGTGTTTGAGTGGCACGCAGCCAGGGAAGCCAGGTGGCGGTGCCTTCTGAGTCGACTCACAAGGAGTCACACGCGGCCAGGGGAGAGAAGTTTCAGCTGGGGGTGGTGCCAACAGCAGCAACCGAAGAGGGTGCCATCCTTCCCATCCATCCCATCCATGCTTCCACTCAGCTGCTGATGCTGAGGTTGCTGGAACACCTGCATATGCAAACGCTGATGCTGCTGAAGCTGCTGCTGCTGGAGTGGTAGGGGTGTGTTGATGCTGCAGGTGTCGGTGCAGGTAGTGGCCAGGAATTTGGTGGAAAACGCGTAGGGGAAGACCGAGTACACAGGGAACAGGAGGAGAATGAGGACGAGGAGAGGGATGGAGGAGAGGAGGTGGAGTCGCCAATGGGGGAGAAGATGTGAGGCCAGCACTGCCAGCAATGGAGGACGAAACGGATGATCCATGCAACAGCTGCAGGGAAGCAGGTGGGGGAGGAGGGGGGGAGGGCATGTGAGAGCGGAAGGGGACGGGGTGGATAGATAATGAGAGAAGAATAGGTGTGGTGGGTGCAGCACTGATGGTGCTAATGGAGGCAGCTAGAAAGAAAAAGTGGTACGGCTGTTGCAATGAATCCACGTGTGGTGCTACAAAGGGGATCCGAGTAGTAGAGGGAGGCGGCTATGAAGAGCGGACGACAAAGTTGCAAGCATAACATGGGTTGATAAGAGATGTGGCAAGCATAACATGGGATGATAAGAGATGTGGCAAGCATAACATGGGATGATAAGAGATGTGGTAAGCATAACATGGGATGATAAGAGATGTGGCAAGCATAACATGTGATGATAAGCGATGTTGCAATGATGGGAGGATGTGAGCGCACCTGCCAAGACTTGCACGGGAACAAGGAGCGCTGGGTTGATGCCTGTGAGACACTGCGAGGGAGGGATGCCGGCAATGGCGGGGGGATGGACAGACATTGGCAAGGGAAGAGGCTGCGGGACAGGAGGCGGGTGATGGGTCTGTGGCACTGTGAGTGTCGTTCTCATGGTGATGGCGGAACGGAGGTGGGGGGACAGGAATGACAAGGAAAGGAAGGAAGAAAGGAAGGAGGGAGGGAAGAAGGGAAGGAGGGAAAAAGGGGAGAGGAAGAAAGGAGGGAGGAGTAAAGGACAGGGAGAGGGGAGGAAGGGGGGAGGGAAGGGGTAGGGAAGGGGGAGGGAAGAGGGGAGGGAAGGGGGGAGGGAAGGGGGAGGGAAGGGGGGAGGGAAGGGGGAGGGAATGGGGGAGGGAAGGGGGAAGGGAAGGAGGATGATATGGCGAGGGGGTGTCACCATGTTTGCTTCAGCCACGAGCAGCAGTGTGACGACGAGACCCAGCTTCTCAGCTCTTGATGACCACCTCTGCTGCTGCAGCAAACCTTGGTGGAACACAGCACCATGCGATGCTCTGGATGCCACTGCTGCTGCTGCTGCTGCTGCTGCTGCTGCTGCTGGTGGTGATGGCGGTGCTGGTGATGGCGGTGCTGGTGATGGTGGTGTTGATGACAAGGCCTGTGATGGTGACGATGGGGACGGTGGTGATGGAATGAGTGCGAGCGGCATGGGGCGGGGATGGGACGGCAGGAGCGCCTGCAGCAAGGACGTCGAGGACGAGAGCGGCTGTGCTGCTGATGAGAATGAGCGCGACCGAAAGGGTGATCGTAGTGATGCTGATTGTAGGAAGGTTTGCTGTGCTTGTGGCAATTGTACTGTCCGTGATGGTGATTGTGGTGATGGTGGTGTGAACGGTGGCGAGACCAGCTGCTGATACCCTCTCGGATTGGCATTCTCATGCTCATAGTACCGCCCATGGTGGTCACCATGGTTCCGGGTGCCATAGTGCCAGCATGGCTTATGCCGGCCACACAGCCAATGCTGCTCATAGTGCCTATGACACTCATCAAACCCATCTGCCACGCTCTCTACCTCTTGCAACCCATATGCCTGGAACAGAGGCGGCAAGGGGCAAGTAGGAGCCGCAGAAGCAATGTGGTGTGAGGCACACGCAGGCAGAGCATCGAGCGATGGGTGGGGAGCAGCAGAAGCAGCAGCAGCAGCAGCAGCAGAAGAGGTGACGGAAGAGGAAGAACCGGGGTGCTGGAAGTTGCGCTGAGAGCCCCTGCCGCATTCGCCCCCACAAGCCAACGCACGAAAATTGGGAGCAGAAGCCACTGCCGACACCCTCTTCCCTCCTCTCTCTTCTACTCCCCTTCCCTGCCATCCCCTCCCCCAATACAGCCTTCCCCCAGCCTCCTCCCCACCATCCCCTCTTATCCATCACTGCCATCTCCCGGGCCTGCTGCCCCAGCGCTTCACACAGCCCCTGGAACTCGTCCGCCCAGATGCGGAGGTCGCCCCGCGTGTCTAGACGGAGGAACAGGGCTGATATGTGGCTCGCCCCGCGTGGGTGGGACCTGAGAGGGGGGCGGGGGGGAGAGCGAGAGGAAGATTGAGAAGGAAGAAAGGAAAATGCGGGGGGGAGAATAGTGAGAGATAGCTGCATGCTATGGAACTCAAATGTTATGTTACCAGTGGGAATGGAATGTTAGGCGGCTTACCAACACAAAGAAGGATCAAAACGCTCATGAAATGTGTTTTATGTGTTTTACGTAATAGAAATTAATATCGCTCTTGCCCATTCAAACGTTCATACAAGCTCTGTCTGCTGTGACCACTCATGCTTTGGGGAAACGGAAAGAGATACAAAGCACTAGATGAAACTAGTCAGAGCAAGCAGCGCATTTGTAACCGCTAAAATGGCCCAAGTGCGAGTCCTACTCCTATCACTTCAAACCCCGTTCATCGTTTATGTCTGCTCTGAATAGGTCGGTCGCCTAACCTTCCTTCGTAAAAATAACACTTGAATCCTCGCCTATAGCACATGCACCTTGAATTTAATATCCACACGCCAGTTCAGACGGCGTTCACGCGAATGAAGGACGAACGATGTAGTTCAGATGGAGTTCACCTGAGGAATCTCCTGCCACAGCTCTCAACAAGACCCACCGGTGCCGCCTTTGAGTCGACTCAAAAGCAGACTCATCCGATCCGAGGAATCTCCTGCCACAACTCTAAACAAGTTACAAGACCCACCAGTGCCCCCCTGGTGCGGGAAATGGTCATGTCCTCCTGTACCGCATCACCCTTCGGGTTGAGGGTTTAGGAGTCAAGCCCCCCCCCATGCATTCCTCATGCCCCCCCCATATCAAATTGTCCCTGATGCACTTCTGTACAACCCTCGCATTAGTGTGCACGCCCTTATACAAAATCAGTAGTGATCATACTTGAACGGCTCCATGGCTCTTAGCAGATGCGTGATGGTGCGCGCTGGCAAGCACAGCACAGCACCCACCCCTGCCGCCTCTCGTCCAGCAGAGTGAATGAACCACAAAATACCATGAGCACTATTTTTGAGGCGCCTCGAAAATAGACTCACCATGTGCACGCTCCTATACAGCATTCTCAAAGTTACTGGAATTCTCACTTGAAGGGCTCCATGGCTAGTAGCAGCTGTGTGATGGTGCGCGCTGGCACCCACCCCTGCCTCCTGTCGTCCAGCAGGGTAAACGCCTCCCTCAGGCACGCCTCCCGTGCTGTCACCTGCTTGCGCTCCCACACTGCCATCTGGCGGTGGTTGTGTGGGCAGGCAGGGTGGGTGAAAGAACGAGGGAGTGAGAGTGAAAAGCCACAGAGATTTCGCATGGTTACCCACAGGCATGCCTCCCTTGCGGCCACCTGCTTGCGCTCCCACACTGCCATCTGGTGGTGGTAGTGCAGGCATGGACGGTGACAGTGTGTGTGATATTCACATGCTTGCGCTCCCACACCGCCATCTGGCGGTGGTCGTGTGGGCAGGCAGATGGTGAACGAACGAGAGGAGTGAGAGTGAAAAGCTACCCCTCCACTCCTCATGGGATTGCTCATGGTTTCCCGCAGCCACGCCTCCCGTGCTGTCACCTGCTTGCGCTCCCACACTGCCATCTGGTGGTGGTCGTGTGGCAGGCAGGGGGGTTGAAAGAACGAGGGGAGGTGAGAGTGTGAAAGTCTCCTTCTTGCACTCCTCCCACACTGTCACCTGGTGGTGTTATGTGGGCACGGTTGCTGAGAGGAGGAGTAGTGTGAGAGAGGGCATGGTGAGGAAGCATCTGCTTGGGACTGTATGGACAGAGCAGTGCAGGGCATGTGAAGTCTGAGAAGGAGTGGGAGTGAGTGTAAAGGTGGGTGACGTGGCAACAGAATGAGTGACAGAGAGCAGGAGTAAACGGGAGAGAGCGAGAAATGAGAGAATGTGGGCAATCTGATGTTTAGCTCACAATGTGCAATGCTGAAGCCTAAACGCTGAACAAGTGCAAGGGTGCAAACCTGAGAGCTGCAGGAGGAGTAGATGACGAAGAGAACCAGGTTCATCCAGAAGCATCGATCCCATAGCAGGCGGCAAAGAAGAGGAGGGAGAGGCGCAGGGGACAGAGAGGATATCGGCAGACATGCGAAGCACCTGAGAGCTGTAGGAGGAGTAGATGACGGAGAGCACGAGGTTCATCCAGAAGAGGCCGAGCGCGAGGTAGGAGGCGAAAAAGAGGAAGGAGAGGCGCGAGGCGTTGAGCTCCGGCAGCCAGACGTTGGGGTTGTTGGCCGTGGTGAGCAGGATGAACATGGCGCGCAGAGACGCGGGCAGCGAGGAGAAGACGGAGGGGGATGGGGAAGAGGAGGAGGAGGAGAAGGACGAGGGGTTGGTTGCAGTGGTGGCGGTGGTGGTGGCGGCCGCGGTGGCGGTGGTGGTGGCAGCAGTAGAGGAGCCAAATAGGATGAAAGCTAACCAGGCGAAGGAGACCACGAAGACAGTGAGTAGGATCTGCATGGGAGAGGGAGAAAGAGAGGGGAAGATGATGGGGAGAAGAAGTGTGGGGAGGAGAGTGGGATGGGAGGAGAGCATGGAGGAGGAAGCACGGGAAAGCAGGAGTGGGATGGAGGAAGCATGGATGGAGGGTGGTGAGATGGAGGGCAGTGGGATGGAGGGCGGTGGGATGGAGGGTGACTGACAGCAAATGTCAAGGAAGGAAGCGATGATGCGCAGGGTGGTGCGGAAACAGCCTCGGATGGACCTGAGGAGGGAAGAGCGAGAGCACGAAAAGGAAAGGGGAAGAGGGGGGAGGGAGGAGGAGGGGGAAAGCGAGTTGGACGAAGTGCAAAAGAATAGAGAAATGGACGGAACAGAAGCATGAAATCGGGGAGAAGGAGGACAGGAGAGAGGGGGAGTCAGCGGAACCCTCGACCTCACAACGAAAACAAGAAACACTCGGCCACACCGCTTTAAACCACAAACGACCGCAGCGAACCCACCTGCTGAAGAGGATGGCAAGCAGCACTCGAAAGTAGGAGCGATGGCACGGGAGAAAGCGGG